AGTTATCATTGATGGACATTTGGAGTTCGTCCAAGTCTTTGCTATGTGAATAGTGCCACAATAAAACATAGTGTGTGCCATGTGCTCCATCTTTATAGTAGCATGATTATTAATCCTTTGGATATATAACCCAGCAATGGGATGCTGGGTCAAATGGTATTTCTAGTTCTAGATCCTTGAGGAATCGCACACTGTCTTCCACAATGATTGAACTAGTTTAACAGTCCCACCAATAGTGGTAAAAGCGTTCCTATTTCTCCACATCCTCTCAGCCGATCTGTTAATTTCCTGACTTTTTAATGATTGCCATTCTAACTGGCATGAGATGGTGAATCTCTTTGTGGTTTGATTTGCATTTTCTCTAATGACCAGTGATGATGAGAATTTTTTCATGTGTCTGTTGGCTGAATAGATGTTTCTTTAGAGAACTGTCTGTTCTATCCTTTGCCCACCTTTTGATGGGATTGTTTTTTTCTTGTAAATTTGTTTTGAGTTATCTTGTAGATTTCTGGATATTACCCTTTGTCAGATGGTAGATTGCAAACACTTCTCCCATTCTGTTAGTTGTGCCATGTTCACTCTGAGGTTAGTTTGTAATTTGCCATGCAAGAAGCTCTTTAGTGTTAATTAGGATCCCATTTGTCTATTTTGCTATTTGGTTGGCTGCTTTTGGTGTTTTGTCCATGAAGTCCTGTTCCGTGCCTGTGTCCTGGATGCGTATGCTGGTTTTCCTTCTAAGGGTTTTTAATGTTTTTAGGTCCTAACATTAAGTTTTTTTTTTTTTCTTGAGATGAAGATTTTGCTCCTTGTTGCCCAGGCTGGGAGTGCAATGGCAATCTCGATCCCACAACGCTCCACCTCCTGGATTCAAGCATTCCTCCTGCCTCAGCCTCCCAAGTATGCAGGGATTACAATGGCATGTGCCACCTACGCCACAGCTAAATTTATATTTTTAGTAGAGACATGGGTTTTTCCATGTTGGTCAGGTCTGGTCTCCAAAGAACTCCCGACTCAGGTGATCCACCCACCTCAGCCCTGCTCAGCTTCCCCAAAGTGCGATTCAGGCTTGAGCCACCGCACCTGCCCTAACATTTAAGTCTTTAATCCGTCTTGAATTAATTTTTGTATAAAGGTATAAGGAAGGGATCCAGCTTTCAGGCCTTCCTACAACCATATAGCCTAGCAACCCAACGAGTCTGTTCCTAGCCACCATTTATGTAAATAAGGGAATCCTTTCCCCATTTCTTGTTTTTGTCAGATTTTGTCAAGAGATCAGAATGGTTGTAAAGTGTGGTGTTTCGGTACCAGTACCCATGCTGTTTTGGTACTGTAACCTTGTATGGAGAGTTAGGTAGTGTATGCCTCCCAGCTTTGGTCTTTTTGCTTAGGATTGTCTTGGCAATGTAACTGGGCCTCTTCTTCTGGTTTCCATATGAACTTTAAGTAGTTTTTTCCAATTCTGTGAAGAAAATCATTGGAGCTGATGGGGGAATGGCAGGTGAATCTAATAAATTACCTTGGCAGTATGGCCATTTTCAGTTGAATATTTGATTCTTCCTAATACATGAGCGATGGAATGGTTTCTCCCAAGTTTGTTTGTGTCCCTCTTTTATTTCATCGAGCAAGTGGTTTTAAGTTCTCCTTGAAGAGGTCCTTACACAACAGATCAACATTTTGTAAGTTGGGGATTCTGTATTTCCTGAATTTGAATGTTGGCCTGCCTTGCTAGGTTGGGGAAGTTCTCCTGGATAATATCCTGAAGAGTGTTTTCCAACTTGGTTCCATTCTCCCCATCACTTTCAGGTACACCAATCAAACGTAGATATGGTCTTTTCACATAGTCCCATATTTCTTGGAGGCTTTGTTTCTTTTTACTCTTTTTTCTCTAACCTTGTTTTCTCGCTTTATTTTGTTAATTTGATCTTCAATCGCTGATACCCTTTCTTCCACTTGATCAAATCGGCTATTGAAACTTGTGCATGCGTCATAAAGTTCTTGTGCCATGGTTTTCAGCCCCATCAGGTCATTTAAGGTCTTCTCTACACTGTTTATTCTAGTTAGCCATTCATCTAACCTTTTTTCAAGGTTTTTATCTTCCTTGCGATGGGTTCAAACATGCTTCTTTTGCTCGGAGAAGTTTGTTATTACTGACCTTCTGAAGCCTAATTCTGTCAACTCATCAAAGTCATTCTCCGTCCAGCTTTGTTCTGTTGCTGGCAAGGAGCTGCGATCCTTTGGAGGAGAAGAGGTGCTGTGACTTTTAGAATTTTCAGCTTTTCTGTTCTGGTTTCTCCCCATCTTTGTGGTTTTATCTACCTTTGGTCTTTGATGTTGGTGACCTACAGATGGGGCTTTGGTGTAGATATCCTTTTTGTTGATGTTGATGCTATTCCTTTCTGTTTGTTAGTTTTCCTTCTAACAGATCCCTCAGCTGCAGGTCTGCTGGAGTTTGCTGGAGGTCCAGTCCAGACTCTGTTTGCCTGGGTATCACCAGTGGAGGCTGCAAAACAGCAAATATTGCAGAACAGCAAATATTGCTGCCTAATCCTTCCTTTGGAAGCTTTGTCCCAGAGGGGCATATGATTGTGCCACTAGTTTGGAATCATTGATGTAGACCCATGCTGTCTAGTACTGTAGCCACTAGCCACTTATGTTTAATTAAAATTCAGTTCTACAATCTCACTAGCCACATTTTCTTTTTTTTTTTTTTTTTTTGAGATGGAGTCTCACTCTGTCACCAGGCTGGAGTGTGCAGTGGCGCAATCTTGGCTCACTGCAAGCTCCGCCTCCTGGGTTCATGCCATTCTTCTGCCTCAGCCTCCCAAGTAGCTGGGACTACAGGCGCCCACCACCACACCCGGCTAATTTTTTGTATTTTTAATATAGACGGGGTTTCACTGTGTTAGCCAGGATGGTCTCAATCTCCTAACCTCATGATCCTCCCGCCTCGGCCTCCCAAAGTGCTGGGATTACAGGCGTGAGCCACCATGCCCGGCCCACACTAGCCACATTTCTAATGCACACTAGCCACATTTCTAATGCACACTAGCTCCCATATTGGACAGCACAGGTGTAGAACATTGCCATCCTCGCACAAAGTTCCATAGATTGGACAGCACAGAATCCTAGTGTATGTCTTACCTTTGCTGGATACCCTCAAGTATTTGCTAAGTGATTGCAGCTGTTCCCCTCCCGAGATAATGGGGTCATTTTCTCCCAGGGTGAATTCAGTTCTTCCACTTCACCTGTCAGTTTTTTCTTGGCGGAAGTGAATGAAAAGCTACAGCCCTTCTTGCTTTTTCAGCTGTTTACAAAATCAAATAATTGGCAGCTGAAATCAAGCACGGAATGTATATAAAGAAAGCTCTGTCTCATCTTCTGTGCAGCTGGGTAGTTGGTAACAGCATCCTCGTGCAGTCGGTCTTTGAGTTCCCTTTCTGTCTGCTGACTTAGTGCCATGCTGCTTGCCCATTTGTGGCTTTCCATATAGAGGTGAGTGTGGGGATGCATGTTATCTCGCTTATACATATATGTACATATATTTCCTTATGTTTTGTTTTGGTTTTTTTGTTTTGTTTTTGCTGCTGCTTAAATGTGCTGAAGAAAGTAAGAAACCCTTCCCTTGGCAGACTCCAGCTCTGAAATCTAGTCCAGGAAGAATTCATGATATCATTGTTTACTTTGTTCAAATTTCAACTCCCTCCTTCTTCCCTTCACTTTGGAGAATTATTGCCAGTTCTTCTAGTTTTGCATAGCTTTTTTATCATTCCAGCTTGTCTTTATTATCCACTTTTTCTGTTTGGACCTTTTTCTCATCTTACCCCTAAAACAGGGGCAAACATTTTCTTTAAAGGGCCAGATAGTAAATATTGTTGGCTTTGTGGGACGGATGGCCTGTGTCACAGGTGCTTAACTCTGCCATTGAAGTGTGAGAGCAACCTTAGATGGTCGCAAAAGGATGGGCAAGGCTAGATTTGGCCTGCAGTCTATAGTCCCCCACCCCTCCACCCCTGCCCCAAATAGCATTTTAAATCCTACTTCATCATGCCAAGAGTCTCTGATCTGCCTTTTCTTCCCCAGTTATGGCCTTCCAATTCTAGAGTTAAAAGTGCCAGCTGTGCCTTGATTTTCTTTATAAAATGTGTCATTCATTAGCAAGTACATATCAGATTTCTTCTGATTTCATTGTATGTTCTGTGAATCAGCAGAAGGCCCAATGAGGCTTGATAAGTCTTGGCTTCTAACACACCTCAGATGTATGTTCCAGGAGACTGACTGTAACTCCCGGTTTACTTGATTTCCACTCCATGTTGAGAAGTTACTAGTCACCACATCCCAGTGTGCATACAGTCTTCCATGTTATTCTAAATAACATTAATTAAGCAGGTACTGTGAGTCAGACACTGTGCCAGGTGCTTTACATGCATTAGATTGTGTGATCCTCATAAGTGCACCATAAGGTGCTACAGTGTTATTACTGTTTTACAGATGAGAAAACTGACATTAGGAAATTAAGGACTGCCTGTGGTCACATTGCCAGTAAGTAGCAGAGCTAGACCTGAACCTAACTTTGTTTGACTCCAAAGTCCTTGTATTAAAAATACACACCATGGGGTTACCTTGGGATAAATCCATCCATGCCCCCACCCATCCATCATTCATCTAGATTTCAATTATCTGTGCTAAAAGTCATGGAATCACTTATGTTTTTTTCCCCAGTTTCTCGTAGTTTTATTTCTTTTGCCAATCTGTTGAACTTTTTTGTTTTTGGTTTTTTTTTTGTTTGTTTGTTTTTTGAGACAGGGTCTCATTTTGTCACTTAGGCTGGAGTACAGTGGTGCGATCTCGGTTCACTGCAGCCTTGACCTCCCTGGGCTCAGGTGATCCTCCTGCGTCAGCCTCCTGAGTAGCTGGAACTACAGGCACATACCACCATGCCTGGCTAATTTTTGTATTTCATGTAGAGATGGGGTTTCACCATGTTGCCCAGGCTGGTCTTAAACTCCTGGGCTGAAGCAGTCTGCCCACCTCAGCCCTCCAAAGTGCTGGGATTACAGGTGTGAGCCACTGCACCCTGCCCAATGTGTTAAACTTAGTTCCAAGATCTCTCAGTGCCTCAGAATGTCTTCCTTTATGGATTATTTCTTCCATCTTTTCTAGAATACAAAACTCTTCCTTTCTTATAAATTGGTGTATAAAGAGGCATATCATAGACCCTTAGATTTGCAAAGACTTAGATTTATAGCACGCATACTTCAAGTAGAAGGAAGACAAATACAGCACACGCAGTCTGTGGATCAGTGCTACAGTGTCTCTCCTTTCTAGGTAAGTGACATGAGGTAGAGTTGGTTTTAGTTTCCCCCGACGGATGCTTCCTGGAAATTTCTAAGGCAAGCTAATTACTTCGTTGGTCTTCCCACTACTCTGTATTGTCCTTGACTTACCACCACCTTCTGTTAATCCTTCTAGGTGTCCGTGCTGCTAACTGGTCCAGTCCAAGTGAAGCCTGGCTTACTCGACCAGACACTCAGGGCCCCTTGAGCTAAATGAGCCATACTTTCAGATCATGAGAATGTTGTCTTAGTGATTTCATGTTAGAGGTCTTCCAGTTTCCTTATGAAAATACATTAGATTCTACAGGACATATCACAGATATATAATTTGTTTATTCCAGAAGCTACGTATCTTCACTAGTATACTGGAAACTGTGCCAAGCTTAGTAGCTTCTTCCTCTACAATGTCAGGTTTAAGTTAAAAAAGGAATTCTACACTTCCCATTAGTCATTTTTTAATTTGAAGATTGACTACTAAAAATATGTACCATTTTTCACTTAATTAGGAGCCATATATTGAAGACCATGTCTGGGAGCTTCTACTTTGTAATTGTTGGCCACCATGATAATCCAGTTTTTGAAATGGAGTTTTTGCCAGCTGGGAAGGCAGAATCCAAAGTACGTAAGAATTTTTATGCTATTGTAATGATATGGTATAATATTATTTTAGAACTGTAAGATCTGGACAGATAAGGTAACTGAAATCCACCACAATTAAATGAGGCTTGCTGTAGAGTCCCACAGACTGATAGAAGCCAGCCAGGGAATGTCCTTAGAGTTGTTTATTCATCCTTTAATTCAGCACAGACTAGCATGACGCTCTGGCATTCCCATGATACTCAGTTCACTATGTCACCCACCATGAATTGCTGCTGCTTAAGCACATAAAAACATAGTTCACCTGTAGCAGATTGCTGCCTTGAAATGCCATGAAAGTCCAGGCTATTTTCATGAATCACCTTTTTCATCAGGACCTACTGAGTTAGAAAAGCCCCTTACTTCCCTGTCTTCCTGCTGCCAGTGGGCCTGCAGCACCTCACTTCAGGGGCATTCTGCAGCACTTCCTGGCTAGGTTGAGCCTGCATGCTCCCCTCCCCAGTGACACCTTGGCTGTACACAAGAAGCTCAAAAGCAGCACCAGAGGTGATAATATCTGACTTTCTTGTCAAGAATGGTTCCAAAAACCAAGCTTGGCTTGAGAACATATTGCCGTTCAGACCTGTAGATTTTTTTTTTTTTTTTGGAGACAAGGAAAATGGACCATATATTTTAAGAAAGATTACCATCCCAAATGCTTAAAATAAAACCATTTGGATCTTATTTATTTTATTTATTTATTTATTTTTGAGACAGAGCCTTGCCCTGTCACCGAGACTGAAGTGCAGTGACACGATCTCAGCTCACTGCAACCTCCGCCTCCTGGGTTCAAGCAATTCTCCTGTCTCAGCCTCCCAAGTAGCTGGGATTACAGGTGTGCACCACCATGCCAGGCTAATTTTTGTATTTTTAGTAGAGATAGGGTTTCGCCATGTTGCCCAGGCTGGTCTTGAACTCCTGACCTCAGGTGGTCTGCCTGCCCTCGGCCTCCCAAAGTGCTGGGATTGCAGATGTGAGCCACCACACCTGGCCCAGACCTGTAGAGTTTTGACATGAGAAGAGCCTAGTTCTTTCCAATTTCTGTTTCTAATAAATTGCTGACAAGTTTGCTATGTTTCTCCCAACCTCCAAAAATTGGCTTTAATGTCCTTTAAGGAACTGATGTTTTGAGTTAATTGTAATGCATAATATATGATATTTTTCAACTGTTTGGGCCTTGCCACCAAAATAAGATAGACATTTGTTTAAGGGATTCTCTACGAGGTGGTGTTGTGACATTATTTTCTCATATTATGAGAACACTACTCATTAAAACTTGTTTTGAGGTATCTCTGTACCAGTATTGCTCTGTGGGATGCAGCTACTTGTATGTAATTTCTGTGCACTCCACTGGCCTTGTGTTGGACAAAGCACACATAAAAATACTCTGTTGCATAACTTGATTTTAGTTCTTTCTCCTGCTACCACTCACTTTCTTAAAGCGTTTTCAGTTTGCTCCTAATTCTTCAGGATTGATCATCATTGTAAAAGAAAACACTGCTGTGAGCCAGACATAAAAACAGCCATTTCTCTAAGGATTCACTTAGCTTTGTCATGGCAACATGAGTGAAGTAAAACATGCTTTAACTACGCATGGGATTCCAGGGCAACAGGCCGCCCTCCTCCAGCCCAGGCATGAGAACAGCCTCCTTGGCAAGGAAGCCGTCTTGGTTTCCTGTGGCTGTTGTAACAAAGTACAAAAAACTGAGTGGCTTGGGACAGCAGAAATTTATTGTCTCAGTTCTGAGGGTCACCATGTGAAATCAAGGTGTCAGTGGGGCCATGCTTCCTATGAAGGCACTAAGACAAGGGTCTGTCCAGGCCTCTCTCCCAGCTTCTGGGAGTTCCTTGGCTTGTGGCAGCTTAACTCCAGCCTTCATGTGGCATTTTTCTCCCTGTGTGCATCTCTAAATGTTCCCTTTTTCTAAATACACCAGTCCATTGGATTAGGGGCCCACCCTACTCCAATGTGACCTCATCTTAGCTAACCACATCTGCAGCAACCCTCTTTCCAAATAAGGCCACATTCTGAGGTACTGTTGCTTAGGACTTCAACAAAGGAATTTTGGAGAGGAAACACTTCAACCCATAACAGAGGTATTCTTTGAAAAATGGTTTATTTGGGTTTTTTTGAGACGGAGTTTTGCTCTTGTCCCCTAGGCTGGAGCGCAATGGCGTGCTCTTGGCTCACTGCAGCCTCCACCTCCCGGGTTGCCTCAGCCTCCCGAGTAGCTGGGATTACAGGCATGTACCACCACAATTTTTGTATTAGTAGAGGCGGGATTTCACCATACTGGCCAGGCTGGTCTCAAACTCCTGACCTCAGGTGATCCACCTGCCTTGGCCTCCGAAAGTACTAGGATTACAAGCATAAGCCACCGTACCTGGCCAAAAAATGTATTTTCAAAGAATTACATCAGGGTAAGACTGCATTCCAAGTTGTGAATTCCCTCTTCACATTATGGTCAGACAGTCCCACCTTCTGTTCACTTAAGCCATTTCAGCCCAGGAAAAGGACACTCCCAGCTCTGACAGGACTGTGTCCTGCTGTTGACACAGGCGACTGCTCACAGCTGGGGCTGAGCATCACCTCCCACTACTTCCAGGTCCCGCTGCCACGTAAGCTCCATGCACTGGAAAGAGGCCTCTGGCAGGCCGTTCATAAGCGCCATTTCAACTGTCTCTACTGCTTACCCGGTGCCATTGTGCAGGAATCTGGGCCCTCTCCGTTTCCTCCCAGACCTTGAGCCTGGTGTGAATGGCACCTCTTCTCCACAGGATCTTGTTTTTTGTTTTTTTTTTTTAAACATAGTATTCTTTTTTTTACATGTTTAAATGGTTATAGAATTTGGTAACTTCCTTCTTGAAACATGAAAAAAAATTTCTATGAAAAAGATTTTGAATAAATGATTTTGTATAAATCATCTGTATACACATTTCATTTATTAATTGGCTGTTTCTGTTCTTTGAGATTTAGATATCAAATTTAAAAATAGAATATAATGTGAAAACAGATCTTTTGTAAGTCTCATGACAATAACAAAGTATAAAAGCAAACTGTTTTTTTCCCCACAAGAAAACCATCTATAGAATTTACAGAATGAAATGTCAGCATTCTTGATGTCATATGGAAATGTTAATCTATGGTTGCTCACACTGTCATCTAGGATGACCATCGTCATCTGAACCAGTTCATAGCTCATGCTGCTCTCGACCTCGTAGATGAGAACATGTGGCTGTCAAACAACATGTACTTGAAAACTGTGGACAAGTTCAACGAGTGGTTTGTGTCAGCATTTGTCACTGCGGGGCATATCCTTACCTTCTTAGTAAAGATAACTAAAGTTTGGGTTCACAAACCAGAAGAACATGGAACATAGATGCCAGGCTCTGAGTCTGTAGACATCACAGTCAGGTGAAAATGTAAGTTTCCATTTATGGGGCTACTTTTCTTTTTTTAGGGGGGAAAAACATTTTAATAGCTAATTTTAAAACTAAGTCTCCTACACAAAAAAAAAGTTTATCTGGACCCTATCAAGGTTATTTTACTTTATTTTATAGTTATTTTCGAACTTTGAAAGCTTATGTTCTCTTTATGATAAAACTAAGCTAATTTTAAACCCAGTTTATATATTCAACTTTTCCATCACAAATACACTGCATGCGACTAATTTGAAGAATATTGTATCAACGAACTGGTTGTTTTTTGTTTTTCATTTCTAAGAAAGATTGTGCCTTAATTATTTCACATATGAGGTTTATTATGCTTCATGACATAAGACAAGAAGATGGAATAAAGAACTTCTTTACTGATGTTTATGATTTATATATAAAGGTATGGTATGTTCTATAATTTTTAAAATCTGATGAGAAAGGATTCGACCTTTGTCAGGAAAGTGGCCTATCGAAGTAACTCCCTTAGGCTGCAGTGTACCTTTCAGACTAGCTTTCCCCCATCAGAACTATCTCTGGCAACTCTCTCTGCAGGTAAGTCTTCACAGGCAGGTGAATATGTATTTAGGAACACAACTCATGGTAGTTATCTTTAGATGACTGTGAAGGTAAATTGGTTTCATTCTTCACCTCTTGGTGCTCATAGCTGATTTTATTAGGGATCCCTAAAGACAGCAAGGAAGCAGCCTATATAAGGGAAAATTACTTCATAATTTAAAATGTTTCCATCTACTTTACAAATAAGTTACAGTGCAATTAATACAGATCATAAACTGGCAGGAAGTGATTTTTATATGATCAAATAGCCACTCAAGAAGAATGGTGCCACTTGCATTTCTTGATTTTGAAAAATAAAATAATAATACAACGTCATGGTTACACTGCAGTGGTAACAGTGTGTTGTTTTGTTTTGTTTTGTTTTGGAGACAGAGTCTTGCTTTGTCACCCAGGCTGGAATGCAGTGGCATGATCTCAGCTCACTGCAACCTCTGCCTCCCTGGTTCAAGCGATTCTCCTGCCTCAGCCTCCCAAGTAGCTGAGACTACAGGTGTGCGCCACCACACCCAACTAATTTTTCTGTTTTTAGTAGAGACGAGGTTTTGCCATGTTGGCCAGGCTGGTCTCGAACTCCTGACCTCAAGTGATCTACCCGCCTTGGCCTCCCAAAGTGCTGGGATTACAAGTGTGAGCCACCATCCCTGGCCCGTATGTTTTTAATAATTTCAATAAGTTCTGTATTTGGACAGAATTTCTTGCATATCAGCACAGTAATACAATTTAACAGTATTCCTAGTCAGAGGTAGTAATATTTAGCCCTCTTATAAAGATGAACAATGTCAAGTGATTAAGGTATAAAAATCAGCAATGCCTTTCCTATTAGTGATTCCATTTAATGATTTTCTCTCGTGTTATGATACACTAATTACTTTGAGAAGCTGATCATTTAGCAGTCTTGTGTTAAAGGAGAGTATTAAAAATCTGATTGTTAAAAGATTACCATATAAGAGTAGCTTTTTCTGAACTCTGAGCACATGGCAGACTTTGTTTTATGTAGCCAAAGGGCCATACAGATTAATCCATTTATTTATAATGAATATGAGTATTTCACACACAGGGTAAATCCTGAAAGTTAACTGACATAGGCAACATTTATCATACTGCCATTAGTTTTACCCCAGATACTTCTCAAAACCAAAACACCAAAATAAAAATTTCCTTAAGAGGATGTTAGTATTTAACAATGCAGCATTTTCAGTAAAACTTAAAAATGTGGTCTTTAGACTTTTGAATGTCTTTGGTTTTTAATTTAAAACTTTAAAATGATTTCCTTTCAGAGACTTATGATTTGTCAGCTTTTTTGCTTCACTAATACTTTCTTCTTTCCTAGTTTTCAATGAATCCATTTTATGAACCCAATTCTCCTATTCGATCAAGTGCATTTGACAGAAAAGTTCAGTTTCTTGGGAAGAAACACCTTTTAAGCTGAATGCAGAAAATTCCAAAATAAATGATGTCACCACAATGGTGTATACTCAGGAATGTGTACATTGTAAGTTACTTGATTAAATAGCCTGGAAAACTTGTGTATTCTCAGCTTATCTAAACCTAATGAAATTCCTTTTATATTTAAAAATAGTACATTCTGTCTCATGTCACATATCAATAGATCAATTGGTATTTCCTTGTGAACAGTGTTATTTATGAAGAGCTCATTATCAATAATCATGTTTTTTTTTTTTTTTTTTTTTTTTCAGAGTCTTGCTCTGCTTGGCTCACTGCAACCTCCACCTCCCAGATTCAGGCGATTCTCCTGCCTCAGCCTCTGACTAGCTGGGACTACAGGTGCGTGCCACCACACCCAGCTAATTTTTGTATTTTTAGTAGACATGGGGTTTCACCATATTGGTCAGGCTGGTCCTGAACTCCTGACCTCGTGATCCACCCGTCTCGGCAAGTGCTGGGATTACAGGCGTGAGCTACCACGCCTGGCCATGAAATAAGCTTTTTGTTTTTTTGTTTTTGTTTGTTTGTTTGTTTGTTTTTATGAGATGGAGTCTCACTCTTGTCGTGCAGGCTGGAGTGCAGTGGCACAATCTTGGCTCACTGCAACCTCCACCTCCCGGGTTCAACCAATTCTCCTTCTTCAACCTCCCGAATAGCTGGGATTACAGGCGTGCACCACCACACCTGGCTAATTTTTGTGTTTTTAGTAGAGACGGGGTTTCGCCATTTTGGCCAGGCTGGTTTCGAACTCCTGACCTCAGTTGATCCACCCGCCTCGGCCTCCCAAAGTGCTAGGATTACAGACATGAGCCACCGTGCCCGGCCAGGAATAAGCTTTTGACTTGCCCGATTCAGATAGGTTGATATTTTGTGTTTTTTTTTTGAGATGGAGTTTCGCTCTGTCGTCCAAGTTGGAGTGCAGTGTCAATTGTTTCACTGTAACCTCTGCCTCCTGACTTCAAGCAATTCTCCTGCCTCAGCCTCCCAAAGTGCTGGGATTACAGGTGTGAGCCACCGTGCCTGGCCCAGATAGGTTGATCTTAATGTAACAACCCAAAAATAAATGTCATAGTCAAGATTTGGTAGATAGATTTAAAATTAAAATATTCTGCAGTTGAGAGTGAAATGTGATAGCACATACATTGATGTTATGCATTTAAAGATGTTATAAAAATGTATAGGCAGTATACACAGCACTACTCAAGAAGCCAAAGAAACACTTGTGCAGTGCTAAGTGTCACATGTCTGCTTCTGCCAGAGGCTAGGAATAGTGATCCTGCTATAATGTGAGAACCCAAATCATGTTTATAAAATAGGAGGCTGGGAGCAGTTGCAGGCCACAGTGAAGTGTGTTGCTTCTGTCACTTTATATTCTTATATTTCCTTTCCCTCAGACAGTAAACTGTTGATACTCGTAAAAAGTTGTAATGCAATTTTTAGTACTGTTGTCAAAGAAAAGTTTGGAATCCATTAACATTTGTACTCAGCCTTTTAGGTTATACACCAGAGGGGGCTGGGAATTTTCTCTTTGTTCCTATGATAAGTAGATCTTACTGTAAAATAGTAAATGTCCATTGGAAAGCAAGTAATACAACCTGTGCTAATTCGGAGCACTTGAACAATTTTGTTCCATTCTGAGTAACTTTTGAGCAAGTAATTCTAAGCTTTGTCTTGTATCCTTGTGTGAAATGGCATCATTTTTACCCTATTTGATTTCTTAAATAAAGATGTTTTTTTAAGATCGTGGTAGTTTAATATCCATTTTTAAAGTGCTGCTTTCGTCCCCTCTCCCCTATTGATAGCGTGCAAACTGATATGATGTCTTCACCTGTTACAGAGCTCAGATCGACTCAAACTAGATGCCAGAGCTTTGGGAGCAGAAAAATTTACATACTCATCTAGAAATCTAGAAGTAATTTCAGCAAATGAGTATTTTTTTCTATATAGTTGGCCCCACCCTCAATGAGCATATCATCCAGAGGGCTGTGATGCAGGCCAACCAAGAGCAGCAGGGTGGATTGAGTGCGGGAAGACTTGGCTCAGCTGCCCAACAGTGGTACCCTTTTCTCCAGGCTGGTGAAGGTGAGGTAAGAACTAGTAACACACTTGTGAGTATATTACTAAAGTTAAATGCCAAATTTCATGTGTGAGTGAGTCTTTAAAGGAGCTGGAAGGGAAGTGGAGCATTGAGTGGGACCTCCAAGGTAGGCTGCACAGGAAAGCATTGCAGGCATGAAGGTGTGAAGAGCACTTGGGCACATGGGTAGAATTGACAGCTGATAGATAGATGCTGATCATGAGGAAAGCTAAGCTGGCAAAGCTTGAATCTGGTAAGTGATGTCCCTTGAAGGTTCTGGAACACAAGAGCAATGGGATGAAGTCCGTCTTAAAATCAGGCTCTCCTGAGCCCATGTATGTTAGCACAAAGTTGGTTATCTGCTTAAGTGCTCCAAAAGTGATCTAGATAAAATGTATACCGAGTTTTGTCCTCTTGCTATAACCGGAAACTTCCTAGGATGCTTCCTCTGGCATGGACATAGATCGTCTCAATCTCTGCTTTGCCCATGCTGTTACCCATGCTCTTTAATTTTTCAGTCACTTCAACACTTCCTGGTTGACAGTCCAGAGTTCCAGAAACCACTGACTCTCCAGACACCACCTTTCACTGGGTACCACACTGGCGTGTTTTTCTACTTAACACTTTACTACTCTACAAGACACAGATAATGTGTGAGAACTTACCTGGTGGTGTCATAATATTAAACCGAAAAGTTTGTACAGAAATATAAAAAGGTTTTCTTCCAAGACAAGTAATAGTAGGAATGTTTTAACTTCAACTAGGAAACTTTCCCCAAGGGTGAAAAATAACAAAAACATTTAGTCCATTAATGAATTGTAATTTTGTATCTTCCAATCAGCACATTGTAATTGTTACATCAGTTATCAAATGCACGTTTGTCTGTTCTCCAAGTTCAGTAGTTTGCTTTTTTTTTTTTTTTTTTTTGAGCTGGAGTGTCACTGTCACCAGGCCAGAGTGCAGTGGTGCAATCTAGGCTCAATGCAACTTCCGCCTCCCGGGTTCAAGCGATTCTCCTGCCTCAGCCTTCCGAGTAGCTGGGATTACAGGCACGATGCCCAACTAATTTTTGTATTTTTAGTAGAGAGAGAGTTTCACCATGTTGTCCAGGATGGTGTCAACCTCTTGACCTCATGATCCACCTGCCTCAGCCTCCCAAAGTGTTGGGATTACAGGCGTGAGCCACCATGGCCAGCCTTGCCTTTTTTCTTAAAACTGAACTGTATCTCTGGCGGGGGGCACTGGTTCACTCCCTACATGACAGCCAGCTCCCCTCACCCAGCATGTCCTTTGATAACCCCATCACTCCCCAGTCGAGGGTCTCATCCACACTCAGTCTAGGCTTTGGTTAGCCTCCATGGAATCAGATAGTCACCAACCACGCAGCATATGAACTTCATCCACAGAAGACCACAATTTGCTTTATCAAGTCTGATCATTGCAACAAGTCTTTTTGTAACAAAAAATCTCCTTGAGAGCAAATCACTAAATGTTTAGTGACAGAGAAGACACCAAGTAAATACATTGCCGAATAAAGATGTCATTTACCCTCTCACAAAGTACAATCCTTAGTATTTCTTCTGAGAGTGATAAAGTTAGCTTGTGTCTTGTGTTATAAAGGAATGTTTTTTCAACTAAGAGACTTTCCCCAAGGGTGAAGAAAGTAACAAAAATATTTAGTCCATTAATCGAATTGTAATTTTGTATCTTCCACACAGTACATTGTAATTATTACATCAGTTATCAAATGCACATTTGTCTGTTCTCCAAGTTCAGTAGTTAGCCTTTTTCTTAAAACTGAACTCTATCTATGGCAAGGTTTTCCATTCATAGACAGCTTGAATTTAGCTGGATGTATTATAGACTGTATGAAGCAACTCTTGTACCACTGGGGGCCTGCCCTCTGCCTGAGACTGTGGAATGTGATCTATGGGGCTGGGGGTGCATGAATGACATACAAATGATGAGTAATTACTAGTGAGAGTAATTCTAATATGTAGAATGAAAACAGGAATGGTTAAGTCATTTTGAAGAGAATGAATTAACGATGCATTGCAAATACATTAGATTTTAATCTTTAATATCTAACATTATTGCTTTAGGAAATTATTTCCCTGAACCAAGAATACAATGCTAATTGCATAAAAACATACACATATAAAAAGTAGTTCTCCATTTTCCCAGGAAAAAATCCAAGTATAACTTCTAGAATAGTCAAGTTTCTTATTTTAATTATAATTAATGTCTTGGTCATCTCATTTATTAGCTCTGCAACTTACATATTTAAAGAAACGTTATTAGACAACCGTTACAATTTATAAATGTAAGGTGCCATTATTGAGTAAATATATTCCTCCATGATTGGATGTGTCCCTTCTCCCACCAACTAACGAAGCAGCAACATACATTAGTTTAATTTTATTAGTAGATGATACACTGCTGCAAATGCTAATTCTCTTCTCCATCCCCATGTTGATTTTGTGTATATGTGTGAGTTGGTTAGAATGCATCAACAATCTAACAATCAGCAGCAAGATGAGCTAGGCTTGGGCTTTCGGTGAAGATTGACTGTGTCTGTCTGAATCAAGTGATCTGACCTATCCTCAGTAGCAAGAACTCTTCGAACGGCTTCCTCAAAGGCTGCTGCCACATTTGTGGCATCTTTTGCACTCGTTTCAAAGTAAGGATAGTCGCCGTTATCCCTGCACCAAGCTTGGGCTTCTTCTGTAGACACCTGCCGTTCGCTTATGTCAATCTTGTTACCCAGAATCACAAAAGGAAAGCTGTCAGGCTCTTTCACATCTGCATAATATATGAATTCTTTCTTCCAGTTACTTAAGTTCTGGAAGCTTTGTGAATCATCGACACTAAAAGTAAGCAGGCAGCAGTCAGAACCTCTGTAAAATGGCGTCCTCAGGCTTCGGAATCGCTCCTGACCTGCCGTGTCCCAAATCTGCATGGTAACAAAATGTCCATCCACTTCCAAATCTTTATTTAAAAATTCCACACCTATTGTATGGAAGAGCTGGGTATCAAACTTATTAGTTACATATCTGTTCATAAGTGAACTCTTCCCAACTCCACCATCTCCAAGGAGAATTACTTTAAAAAGTGATGATTTTCCTGCCATTGTTAATCTCAAGAGCTTCAAGAACCCTGTAAAATAAAAAGGCACCATTACATTCCTTTATACCTACACATTCTTCTACATGATTCTGTGAATATCAGCATTTAACTGAAATAAAACATACAGCCGCAGGGAATACCTAATAAGAAGACTTCTTGTTTACTGAGCACTTAGCCATGTGCGGCTATTAGTCTACCATTATTCTCTGAAACAGCTGGGAAGGGCTCACTCTTCCCCTTTCTCTGGTCACAGTTGACTGTGAAACTGGCACTCAAGCTCAAGTCTGACCCCAAAGCCCTTGCTCTGAACCGTTACTCTATGATAAGCCCCTCTCTGTTCATAGTAAGCCCCACCACCATTTGTTAGAGATGGGTAGGAGATCAAAGTTCGCATGGTTTTTTGTTTTGTTTTGTTTTGTTTTTTGAGACAGGATCTCGCTGTCACTCAGGCTGGAGTGCAGTGGGACCATCTTGGCTTACTGCAGCCTTGAACTCCCAGGCTCAAGCAATCCTCCCGCCTCAGCCTCCCAAGTAGCTGGAACCACATGAAGCACACCACCATGCCTTGCTCATTTTTCTATTTTTTGTAGAGACAGGGTCTCAACCATGTTACCAGGCTGGCTTCAAACTCCTCCACCCAAGCAATCCACCTGTCTTGGCCTCCCAAAGTGCTGGGACTACAGGCGTGAGCCACCGTGCCCGGCCCATGTGTTTCTCTTAACAACTTCAAACAGCCCTTCAGTGCACAGTTGTGGTGTTCACTGATGGCCTCTCTTGTACCAGGGACTTTCTCTACTACTTCCTACGACCCCTTCCCTGTCTCTCTTCAGACACAGGTGCTGTTAACCAGGAGAGCCAGAGACAGAAGCTGACTTATCCTGCTGTGAAATAAAATATAAAGCAACCACTGAGTAAATGTACTTTATTCTCTTCATTAAGAACACTATTTTTAATTTGTTCAAATTAATGTCAGCAGCAATGGAATTTTTACTTTAATATAATCTAGTACATTCTACCCACAAGATTCACTTGGGCAGTTCAAACACTTAAGGAACATGAGACTGTGCTGGTACTTGTGTGTTTTGAGGAGGAATGAAATAAATCTTAAATGAAAATGTGGTACTATATATGTTCTTTAGAAGTCCTGTGGCAGGATTAAAAACTTTACTACACTACAAGAGCCAGCCTGTGGGGGGTGAGATTTCAGATGCCTGTTGACAGACAGCTACTTCTAGGTGCTGGTGGGAGCACAGTTCCTGGTTAATCCTTCTGTTTACATTTTTATTGTGGAAAATTTAAAACATATACAAAATGTCTATATAATGAGTATAATACAATGAGCTCCCATGAACTCTAAACCCAGCTTCACCAATTATCAACTTACGGCAAATCTTGTTTCCTCCATAACCCCTCCAACTCTCCCTTCTCCCCAGTTATTTCAAATCAGATTATATCATTTAATCTGTACTTTAGTATTAAATGGTTTTTAAGTATACTAAAATGTATATAAGAAAATACTAGAGAAGCACTGTACAACAGAATTTGATGCAACAATGGAAATGTCCAATATAGCAGCCACTTAGCCGCATGTGACTGTTGAACACCTGACATGTGGTTGATGGAAGTGAAAGACCGCATTTTAAATTGTATTCGATTTTAACTAAATAGCCACATTTAATGAGCCAATTGCTGTATTGGAGAGCACAGATCTAGAACAAATTTGGTCAATAACCTTAATAGGAAAGTAGGTATTATGAATCCCTCAATGGGAAGGCAATAAAGACATGAATAATAATTGTTATATTGACCAGGATGAATTTGTAAAATCACTGCAGAAAACATTATCTGGCTGTCTCCTGGTTATATGCAATGTGAGCAACTATAGTATAACTGAACACTTCCTGTAACATGTAGGAATTCTGCATTTCTAACTACATGCTCCACTGTTCTGATAAAAACCTTGTAGCAGCTTGTATAATGAGAAATTAAATGAATGGGAAAATATTATTAAAAAATGATGGGATATACCTTAGTCCCTACCTCTTACTGGTTCTTTCAAATTACTACTACAGGCCAGGCAGAGTGGCTCACACCTGTAATCCCAGCACTTTGGGAGGCTGAGGCGGGCAGGTCACTTGAGGTCAGGAGTTCGAGACCAGCCTGGCCAACATCGTGAAACCCTGTCTCTACTAAAAATACAAAAAAAAAAAAAAAATTAGCAGGAGGTGGTGGCGAGTGCCTGTAGTCCTAGGTACTTGGGAGGCTGAGGCAGGATAATCCCTTGAACCTGGGTGGCAGAGGTTGCCGTGAGCTGAGATCGCACTACTGCACTCCAGCCTAGGTGACAAAGCAAGACTCCATCTCAAAAAAACAAAACAAATTAATACTACAGTAATTACTACTATAATTAATATTTATACAATTTAAACTGTCCAACACAAGTGTGTGGCAGTTAAGGTGCACACCTTTTGAGAGACTTTTTCAATTTCAAATGTCTTGCTCTACTCAATATCCAGACTAAATTAACGTTAAATAGGAAACTGAAACAGTCCCAAGCCCCTTACTTTCCTGACATAGGTAACAATGTGCTAAACTGGCTGCTTTAATTCTTTGGCATCTTTGCTTCAACAACTTCAACTTAAAAAGACTGAAAACCATAAAAGCAAACCAAGTATTTTGACATAGGGGAACCGTCTATCTAATGTCTCCTCAGAATTCTTCAGTGGGTTGTTTCCCAGAGAAGGCAAGACACCTGGCTCCTGCTCTTGGCCAGCCTCACTCTAGCCACCTCCCCCCTCACAGCCTCTGCTTCAGTCATTCTGAGTGCACCAGCACACGGAACTGAAATTCAATTCCACTCGCTCAGCACACCCTACACTCTCTTGCCTCCTCCCTGGCATATGCTGCTCCTTGCTGGTGACCGCCCAACGAACCACTGTCCCTTTAGAACTGCTCAGCATGGTCATCGCCTCCACTGGGAACCCTGCCCCAGCAACTCTCCCAATGTTTTTCCTTTCCCACAATTTCCATGTTGTGTTATGAGAGTACAACAGACATCATTTATTCCAATATTTTAATAAGTCTCTACTGATCTAACTGCCTTATCAGACACAAAGTTTTACCATACATCACTGAATTTTTAGCATCTTTATATCAAATTACAAACCAGATCATGCAATCTAACAAACCCCACCCAGACTATTGGTTGCATATATCTAGTAAATTAAGTTTTAGAAATTCCTTGAAAGTGGTAATTTATAATTTTATCAAGACACTTTGATAGTTCTTTTCTTTTTTCATAATAATGTAGGACTTCCTAGTTTGTCTCATTCTGACCAAATGAATTTGGGGTATGCCAACCCCACCAGGAAACAGAGTATAGGGTACAATTTTTTACATTTTCCATCTACAGTTTGAGGCCTACCATATATTCCCATTTGGGAATATATTTGCATTTGCCAAAATAATTTCTACATGAATATCTCTCTAACTGTAGAGTTGTATAAAAGCACACATGGTGATACAAATAATTGTACACACCATCTTATTTACCAATGACATCTAACAAAAGCCAGTTTCATTCAATCTACCCATAATATAATCACAATCAGCTTATAGACATTAAAAATATTATTTTTTTCTTTAAAAACAGTAAAATCCTTTGAAATTTCTTTAGTATAAGTTACATAAATAAAGGGATCCTACTACGTTATTTTCAAAATTTGCCTAAAAAGGTAATGTGAAGTCTCTTATACTTCACAGTTTAAAATGACTGTCCAAAGACAATTTTCGCCAAGGTTAAAACATTAGTAATTCTGCTAAATTCTATGAAGAAATCTGAATAAGGGGCCAGGAGCAGTGGCTCATGCCTGTAATCCCAGCACTTTGGGAGGCTGAGGCGGGCAGATCACTTGATGTCAGGAGTTTGAGACCAGCTTGGCCAACATGGTGAGACTTCATCTCTACTAAAAATACAAAAATTAGCCAGGCGTGGTAGCGCATGCCTGGAATCCCAGCTACTCAGAAGGCTGAGGCATGAGAATTGCTTGAACCCGAGAGGCGGAGGTTGCAGTGAGCCGAGATTGCGCCACTGCACTCTAGCCTGGGTGACACAGCTAGACTCTATCTTAAAAAAAAAAAAAAAAAAAAAATCTATAAAAAAAGCATATTACATAGGTCATAAATTTTACCTGAATTTAATTGTTCAAGCATCATTATCTACAAAGAAAAAAATTAGAAAACTCACCTTAACAGTGTATGTTTTCATAATTTTGAGAGTAAAATGAAGAATTAAAATGTTAAAGTACAGTATCTGACTTCTATTAGCAGCCAGATTCTTAACTTAAAAGAAAAACCTGAATACTTTCCATAACCTTTCTCAGTCCAAAAAAGTCCTACAATCAAATATTCTACTTTAATCATTACGTTTTTCAAGAAGTTTTTCATCTATCCATCTTGTTTTCTAAGTTTCACATTCAGAGACAGATATGAAATTATATCAAGAGGAAATGTACAATATTTCATTCATTCTTTAAAACCTGCCCAAATTTTGGGTGGCTGAGAATGAGTCATATTCCAGAGAATAAAATGAAGATAACACAAAAGGGAAGACAAAAGGGCCATGTGAGGGAGGGGCACCAACATGATACAGGAAAGGTCAGGCTAAGGCTCAAGGGAGCCCAGCTTCCAGGCAGCCAAGGCAAAAATGAAAACGCTCTTGTTTCTGTGCAAATCAAAGCACACTCAGAAAAGAGAACTTGTTCCTGGCACCAAATGCCATGAGCACAGCCCCATGGGCGAACTATTTAACATCCTGAATCCTCATGGGAACAACAGTGACAGCAGTACCTACCTCCTAGGGTTGTTGAGAAGATGCACTCAAACAACAGAGGAAAAGTGTTTCATCACAGTGCCAGGCTCATTACAGGAGTGCAAGAGTGTCTGTGAAATGAATACATGAATAAGTCTTCACTGGCAGTTTTACAGACAGGTTCTTTTTATGGTCATGTCTTACATCAACCTTCAGTAATGGCAACAGGCAGAACAAATTAGAGGACGATATAGGCCTACACTAGGAAGCTGAAGGATCCTAGTCCTAGAGTTCAAATTCAATGTCAAGGTCTCCCAGTGATCACTATGTGTAACTGTGCTAAAGTACTAGCCTCTATTGGTCTGAACCAAAGGTTTCAACCACCCTCCCCACCCACCACTTTTTAAAGCAAAGGGCATTTTTGTGGGACTTACATATAGCAGTCCTTAATTTATAAAATACAATTAATAATAAAATGAGACGCTTCAAAATCCTGACATTTGGGGTTGAAGATGAAACAACAATAGCAGCTAGCATTGAGCCCGGTATGTTATGCAAGCTACAACACTGTGTTTATTCCTCACAAGTCTCTTAGTACCTATTACACATGAGGATACTGACTCAGAGAGGTTACATGCATGGTCAAGGTCACACACCTAGTGAAAGGCGGGGGTAAGATATGAACATGGCCAACTGACTCTAAAGCCCAGGCACTTAACCCACTAGGCTACGTCAATCCCAACTGCCTATGCATCTGTTTCTGAGGTTCTACTGTTGTTGCTGCAGGTAGAATGAAAATAAGCAATTGCAAATGGTAAGAATCTTTCAACCACTTGCTTTATTTCAAAATCTGCTCAAGAACAAGATTAACCTGACAGAACCAGTAATCTCCAGTCTTATTGACATGTAGCATAAAGCACATGTGTCTATGCTTTATTAGAGTTTAAGTAGTTTAAAACATGTTTTACATGAAATGAGTCAAATTTTGCAGAAGCTTACCATTTGGTAGAACGACTGGGAAAGTAATTTTTCAATAAGTATTTAGTGAGTGCCTGCTATGAGTCAGACCCTGAAGATACAAGCCACACATACAGTCCCAAGTTTGTGGAGCTTGTAATTGGGTGAAGGTGACATCCACATACAAATGCATTTAAGTCACAACTGTACCTCGCACAATGAGAGGTATATGGTATAAAGTACAACTATTCACACTCAGCCAAAAATCAAAGAACAACTTAAAATAGTGCAAGGGATTCTGCCCACCATCTCCCTCAGTGAGTGAGATGCACAATGTGTAAACCTGGGCCTCTCTCAATCAGACTCAGATTCCCCGTGCCACTATCTTACGGAGCTGCCTGAGTCCATGAGAGTTCAGCCACCTGGGGGACTTAATTTACATGCAAACATGATCCTGTAACACAAGCCAACAATTTCACTTGCTGAGCTGCAGTTAAGGAAAAAGAGGTAACTTCCAACATCGGAGGGAAACTAGGCTGTGTTAATGAGAGACTGTACATAGGTTTCTAGTGTGATGCTTCCAAAGCAATGTCTCCATGATCATTTTAGCCATGTGCTGCCATGAGAACACAGCCCTTGCCAAAGTCTGATTCTGCTGGAGGGGATCTGACCCAGGGGAAGTAGGTGTGACCACAGATTAAGCTCAGCAAGAGCAAGAGAAAACTATGAGAAAAGAGGAGGGAGCAGGAACCAGAAAGTGGGACCAATCCATGCCAAAGAAGCCTGGCTCTGGCATGAACTAGGAGAATTCAAGGTAGGCCTGAGCACCTGGAGGCTGGAGAGTGAAGAGTATGCTACAAAGACGGGACTGAAGGAAGAGGCCCAGGAGCAGGGAGGGGAGTAGAAGCCACGGGAAGGATTTCTGCCTGTACTCTAGGAATGATGGGGAGTCTCTGAAATAGCTTCAGCAGTGGGTGACCTGGTCAGATAAGGAGTCCAGAAAGCTAACTGGATGCAGTGGGAGAAGGGCTGTGGGTGAGGTGGGGAGGAAGGCCCTGGACAAGCTGGGATGGATGCCGCTACGATCCCTCTCCACTACTAACAGTGTCAGCTAGGCTTACGACTGAAAATTGAGGTGGCTGTACCTCACACTTGATCCTCCAGTAAGTTATTTACTATATGACTTCATGCTTTACCTTGTTCACGTTCAAATCCCTGGCCCTTTACCTGTCTAACTCCTAGTCACCTGTGCGGATGTAGCTAGACCTCATCTCCCGAACACCTACTGGACATCTCCAACTGAACCCCCTTCCTCGACACTCCTAACCACCCTGTGCGTGCCTCCACCATTTACCATAAGGAATTCTGTAACTGACATGTCTACTATGTCTAGTAAAAATGAAACATGCTCTCTTAAAAAACTCAAATTATATGGATATGTACTATACAATTACAGAAATGTCCATACATTTTTGAGTTGTCAATGTTTTAGATTGCACCAAAAAAGTGCATACCCATACTATTATCAAACCACCTTCCCCTAAAAAGAAAGAAAATGTCCATCAATTGATGAATGGATAAATAAAATGCAGCATACATCCATGCAATGCTGTAATGTAGACAACCCTCAAAAACATTATGCTAAGTGAAGGAAGTCAGAACAAAAGCCTACCTACTATATGATTCCATTTATATAAAATGTTCAGAATAGGCAGATATGGAGACAGTAGATTCATTGCTGCCAAGGGATGGGGCGGGGGGCGGTGGCAGGTAAAGGAGGAGTGACTGCTAATCGGTATGCGGTTTTTTTTGGAGGGAGGTAATAAAAACATTCTGGAATTAGATAGTAATGATGGTTGTACAACTCTGTGAATATACTATAAACACCAATGAATTGTATACTTTAAAAGGGTGAATTCGGCCAGGTGCCGTGGCTCACACCTGTAAACCCAACACTACGGGAGGCCAAGGCAGGCAGACCACTTGAACTCAGGAGTTTGAGACCAGCCTGGGCTACATAGTGAAACTTCATCTCTACAAAAAATACAAAAATTAGCTGGACGTGGTGGCGCATGCCTGTAGTCCCAGCTACTCGGAAGGCTGAGGTAGGAAGATCACCTGAGCTTGGGAGAGGTCAAGGCTGCAGTGAGCTGTGATCACACCACTGTACTCCAGCCTGGGTGACAGAACGAGACCCTGCCTTGAAAAAAAAAAAAATTACTGTATGTGAAAATACATATGCAAATCTCCTGAGAATTAAAAATATGACCCTAGAATTAGATTTACACAACTAGAGCTACAAATGTTCTCCTTGTCCCTTCAGCAGCATCCCTTTAAATAAATCATTTACATGTACAACAGACACTACTTTAGGATTCCCATACCACGTGCTGGTACCAACATATGCTGTATGTGTCATACACTAATCCGATTGTAAAGTTGGATAAGCAGGTCACTGGCAGGAAAAAAAATGAACCACATTGCCAGCAGATACCGCAAAATTCAAAAGACAAAAGAACATTTTATATTAACCCTTTCCTTCTTATAACACTATTTTCCCAACTTTTCTATTATGTACTTTTATATTATCAATTGTTCACGAATAGTTATTCAGTAGTACCCTTTTCTCTAGCCTTCTCCAACCCCTTGCTGGCTTCCAAAGCCATATACTACAAGAAACCAAGGGGAAGACCAGAAAGCCTCAAGGTCCAAGCATCAAGAATATAATTCTGCTGGCCAGGCACAGTAGCTCATGCCTGTAATCCCAGCACTTTGGGAGGCCAAGATGGGCAGATCACTTGAGCCCAAGAGATCAGGAACCAGCCTGGGCAATATGGTGAAACCCCATCTCTACAAAAAATACACAAATTAGCCAGGTGTGATGGTACATATTTGTAGTTCCAGCTACCTGGGAGGCTGAGGCAAGAGGACCGCTGGAGAGGCGGAGTTTGCACTGAACCGAGATTGTGCCATTGCACTCCAGCCTGGGTGACAGAGTGAGACTCTGTCTCCAAAAAAAAAAAAAGAATATAAATCTCTAATATGACTGTGTATGTGATTGAAGTTAGACTTTTTTTATTGGTCCTGGATCTAATTGTCTCCATTCCTACAGATAACTAAATTCAATTTATTTATTATTTTTATTATACAAGATTTTTGAGTATGGCATTCAAAGAGCTATCCAACAGCAGTTACAAGCTTGCACCAATTATATCCCTACTACTCACCATCCCCACACCCATCACTGCCATTTTCTGTCCATATCTTTGCTCGGGCTGTTACCTTGGCCTGCAAGGCCCCGCCCTACTTTGATGGCTATGATCATCTTAGTCATCAGAGGCCCAGTCCAGATCACCTCATGTAGGAAGCCAGGGCCGCCCTAGCAACCTAATCTTTCTCTTTTCTTCACTCTCATCATCATTTCCACCTCTTTACAACTCTCATTTACTTATGTTCTAATCACCTTCTGTCTTGTTTCCTAATTACAATGTCAACTCCCTGGGAGGGACACACAACACCTAATTGCATCCATTCACTTGTCCCTTTTTTGTTCTGCCACTTCTCGTACAATGCTCTACATTTGGTGAGGTGCAAATAAATGCTAAATTGAGAACGAAGAGTGTATTACTTCCTCTTTTATTCTTGTTATTCTATTATTATTCTATTTGTGCTTTCTGTACTTAAAATTCTTTGTTTCTCTATCAGTTCTCCCCGCATTCTATTTTTGAAGTCTATTAAAATGTGTGGGAAGGAACAAAAAAATTGATTCTTACTTGCAATCCCAATGAGAATCCCACTTTAAGCTCCCTGACTGCGACAGGGAGCTGGCAAATGCTGAAAAACAACTACATTCCTTAATAAGCTGCCAAAGGGAGAGCAGGCATCATTTGTAAACTGCCTTCTCAAAACTTGAATTTTAAAACACATATTCTGTAACCCCTCCAAAAACTTGAATTTATCACTCCTGGTTTAAATTTAGGAACAGATTTTTTTCTTTTTTTTTTTTTTTTGGTCAAATTCACAAGTTCCTTTGGATTCACCCTGAATGTCCTACTTAGAGGTGTACGTATCACTTCACTTCACTTCATAGCTTGAGAAAGTGAGGTTCAAAGAAAACCAGGGAAACAAAAGTACGGATAATCTGAAAATTATTTTTGCTGGAGCTGTATTTATT